CACTTATGGCCACACGTAGGGGCAGCACAACTCCAGATGGCACCATCAGAACAGACCAAAATGTATAGGCAACTCCTAGAATTGTAGAGCACACAACTTGCACAACCAGATACCAGGGTGTTGCTGCTGCTATGATAAACTACATGGTTCCTTTTTATTATGTGTCAGGTATTGGGTTAAAGATTTACACATACCACCTACTAATTTCCATGACAATAGCTTTAATAGGAATGATTAGTATTCCCATTTTTCAAATGTGACAGTGATTCTCAAAAATTTTAAGGAACTCTTCCAAGTCATGGATATTGACCACCAAATATCTGTTACATGGCCTTCTTACAAGGATAATATTGACATGTCTGTTTTTATAATCTTCACCTAGAGCTAATTCTCTGAGTGGAAAGAGCCTGGATTTGAAGGCAAGGAGATCTGTGCTCCTAGTCAGCGTCTAACACAGCATCTATCATCTCATAACCTCTCAATATATAAATGGAAGTTTCTAGGTCTACCACTTTCTACCTGTCCAACCTTGAAAAAGTGTTATTAAATATCTGGATTCCAGTTGCTCCATTTATAAAATGAAATACTTGCCCTGCCTACTGTGTGATTGGTAAAAATAATAAGTATTTAAGTGCTCTATTAATTATAAAGTCCTATACAACTGTAACAGGATGTAATAATGGTCATAAAGAAAAGCAAAATATCCTTTACAAGTTAGGCTGTAAAAATGCCCATGGAGTGAGGTTAGCAGGCAGTAATCCTCAGAGTGGCAGGGACTGTGACTTCTGCTGCCAACAACTCTCCCCCTCTTCACTCACCCACAGACCAGGCAATCCTGGCCTTCAGCAGACTCACTTCCTTATAAAAGCATTCATTTTTTTAATGCTAACACTCTCCTCCCACACCCCATGCACAAATCTCTCATGGGTTTTCCTTCTTTTCCTTTTGTAAATTTGTGAAAGGATCAACAGGATTTAAATGAACTTCATCTTTCAAATAGCCGTATATATTTTCAGCAAAGCCAAAGGGTTTTCAGGTAGCCAGTAGGAGTCTGTCAAATCTGGAGCTGATCTCATCTTCTCAGGACCCAGGTACCTTCTGCCCTGCCAATGACTTGATGATACACACACCTACAGATGTGTCTTAGATGCATAAATGCTCTGTGTGTGTGCCTCCCCATGCTGGATGTACAGATAACACTCCAGAGAAATACTCTGTGCTTCACCTGGGGACACAGAAGAATAAAGCCAGTAATTTCAAAATATTTTTCTCACTAGCAATCTTCTTGTAAGCATCCCACCAACTTCTAAGATACATAAGCAATTCTTTTCTTTCCCCCTGGTAACACCAATACCCAAAGTCTCTCACTAGTTCTATCACAAAAGCTCCTGACTCCTGCTACTGTTACCCATCTCAGTTCTTCTGCCTGTTGTGGTTCTCAACATCTGCAAATACAGAACTGATTAATTATGAATGCTGTGGCTTGTCTGACCTACATCTCCTCTTACTTTTTGCTCCCTTGGAATTCTATTCCATAGTCAAAGGAATATCAATTTCAGAAAATAATGTTTCCCTGATATACAACCTGAAGTTTCCTTCTGCAAGTCTCATTACTTCTATGGACCACACTAAATAATTCCTCTCCTTCACTGTCACTCTCCCTATTCAGAGATTTGTAGATTGTTACCATGGCTTTCCCTTCATTGCCACTTAGCCCAGCCATATATATTTAATTCTTTTCATCTTTCATCATAAATCCATCCCTTCAACTCTTAAATCAGCTCTCTGCTCTTCTCTGGACTAGTTTCAACTCTCCCAATTCACCTCCAATAACTGACATCCCTTCTGGGAGCTCCAATTTCCTCTCTATCTTCCTTTTCTCTCTTTGCCCTCTTCAAAAGTAAAATGGGAAGGGATGGACAGATAAGTGAGGTCAAGAGTGATGTGTATTTCACTGCATATATCTACTCTAAATTTCTCAGGCCTCTCCACAGTACATGTGAAGTCCACAGTTAAATATTCTTTCCTGGAGTGGGAAGGGGGACACTTACAGGGAAACAGCCTTCCTATCCCACAGGACATCATCCTCTAGGCCTCTGTCTGGGGAGTGGCAGAAGTAAGTTATCAAAACATCTACAAAACAGGTTCCAAAGTGGAGCTTGAGCAATGGGGTAGCCTCCAAGCAGATATCTCATCTAGATTTGGGCTGCCTCCAGATGGTACACCACCATTCATTCATACAGTCCCAGCAACTCCCTCTCTACCTCTACTTCTCAAATGGGTGCTCTGGGAACCTGCCTTGGACTTGGAAACACTGATCCCATTTATGAATTCAAATCAGCCCACAAAGAAAAAACATTAGCATGTCATGCATTATAAGACTTTTCAGACATCCTTTCATCCTCTCTGACAGCACAAACCACAAGCAATACAAAGAACATTTGCTTTGTTCTAACTGGGTGCTTTTCCATTTTTACTATATCCCCAGTCATAGACCTGCTCAGACTGAAGAAACTCCATTCCTCATCATGGTCCTGCTTACTCTTAGACCAATGGGCTATTGCAGGCCCCTCACTAAAAGGGGTGGCAGAACACCCACCCTCTCCTCTTCACTTCCCATGATAGGCCCATCAGTATGATTGTGGCTCTCGAGACCAGACTGCCAGTCCCTTGGGCAGAAGCAGGGAGAAATAAGCTGAGTTGTGCTTCTTCTCCCTTTAAATACTTGAAGATTCCATGTCACAGAAGAGTTAAATGTCTTTTCTATAAATCAGAGCCTATATAAAAAGAATAAGCCCATTTTCAAACATGATACACAGCAAAATAAACAAGTGTGAATGCCTAAGCTTGAATTTTCATACAAGAAAATGAATGGAGCCACAATGATATATGTTGCCCTAAATAAGAAACATGATATAGCAGGGTGTGTCCACTCCTTCCAAAGGAGGTTTGAAGTGGAGACTGTATCTGAATGAGGCTGGGGAGGAGGCAGTGGTAAGGCAAGAGGCTAGTTCTGCATTACTGGCTGCCTAACTGAAGACAGCATATGTTTCAGAGCAGGAGAGCCCAGCCTCTTCCAAGTACAATCACCACAAGGCCCGAAGTGCTTTTCAATAAACTGCTGGTCTCTCTGGAGGTCATGGGGAGCTCATCCAGTTACACTTAGTGTCTTATTTGATCCCATCAATAATCATTTGATCCCGATCCTGCTGAAAAACGCTTGGCCAAAATTTCTAGCCATTAACAGGCAGAATCCTGGCTCTTGCTTAAAACAGCATTGCTAGATGTGTCAAATGATGCATAAGGGCTTGGTCCAGCTGCCAAATGGACTGTGCTGCTGAGGGAGGACTAGGGATGCTCACAGTGCTTCTCAACTACCAGTAGCAGAGCAGCTCTTAGAGCACACTCCTTGCTCCACGGAACTCCCCAAGTCAGCAACCTTATCTAAGGCTTAACTGGAGTATATTCTTCAAATGCATTAAAAGTGTGACTCTTCAGAGATGCCCACTGATACCTATCTCAGTTCACAGAAGATGCTATTAAACACATCAGACCCTGCCTCATCCTATGGACTAATATAATTTCCAACATTGAACACAAAGGGGTCATTTCAGGTGCCAAAGCTACTAATGCCAATACTGAAATATGCATCCAGACCATTCTCCTTGGGGACCACATAGCAGCATTACTGAGGAACCTCAACTTCTGAATATCCCTGCTGTACAGGAGTACTGGGTGTATATAAGATTATGTGAGTGTGTTGGAACAAGCATAGCAGATACTTGTAGCTCTACAGTGGGCTTTTTTCAATGCTTTCCATCCAATTAATACTAGACATTAGTAACCAGCAGAGCATAAGAATTTCATTTATTTCTGACAATGACAGTGATAGAAAAGACTCTAGGTTTGCTCAGTGGAATTAGTGTATGCTTTTAAAAGGCATGATTTCTTTTCTGTGCTTTCTCCTTCATTTACATTGTATATTTTATTCACGAGTCTTTCCCCAGTCATCTTACAAGAGAAACATTCATTCAAACCCGCCTGGATTTCTAGTCAAAGGATGCTATGGGAAGAATGAGAAGTAAAGGCCTCCAAACACACCTCCAACTCAGTAAATATGGGAAGAAAATGAGTAAATCAAACAGAATCCTCATTTCTGGAGTTTCCAGCAGAGATCTGCAGGGAAACAGGCCTGCCAGAGACTGTCATCAGAGCTGCTGCTGCAGACCGTCAAGCTCAGAACTGGAGGGAATACAGGAAGAAAGGAAAACCAAACCAACCATTGTCTCTCCCTGACTTCACAGGCATTCCCCCAAAGGAAGACTATCTTGCCAACTTTGCTCCCTCTCTTCCCATCTCCCTCTCTTCACATCTCCCTCTTGCCTTCTGTCCCCTAGGTCTTCTGGGGCTTTCTCAATGACATCTAAGAGGAAGAACAAGAGTCTGAGAATGGACAGCTGACTGAGGTTGAGGGAGGCTGCGTGGAAGAATAAATTAATGAAGAGGCAATCCCTTGGTAAACAAACATTTAAAGAGAACAGCTGTGTGGGATGCAATAATATGAAAGGAATTCTATATTCCCTGAGAAAGCATACCACACATTCCCCAATCTGTAGGCAGGCAGAGGAAACAGGATAAGGGAAGATGGGCAATAGTTTGGAGATCTAGAACTAAGCTTAGAACATAGAAGTAACAGGCATTTCAGACATTATAAGGAAATTAGATTTTGACTGGAACCCTGTGTAAGTGGGTAGAAAGAGGCATTCTGCCAAGGCCAGGAAACTTTTTCCCAACTTGGCTGCTGGAGAGGAAGGAAGACTCTTGGGCAATGACTGCATTCAGGGAGAAAATACGGTCTGAGGGAGGAGGTTTGCGGAAGGAGAAAGGAGGACTAAGAATCAGAGACTGAGGTTTTTGGAAATGGGGATTAGTAGACAATGATTACAAATTGATGTGTCTAAAACACCAAATCCTGACACGCTCAGGCGGAAGCTGCTCACCGGTCCCGAAGATCTGGAAGAGAAGGCGGGGCTGGGAGGCGCGGATCGCAGCGGACAGCCTTCCTTCTCTGCCCACTTCCGACGCCTTTTTCTCGGGCATCAGGCGGATCCTCAGCCGCCCTTCGCCGTGGTGAATCCACCAGCTGAAGAGCTCGCTGAGGTTGAATTGGAGCAGCCCCGCGGTCGCCTCCTCTGGGGGCCCAACGCAGCCCTCAAGGATCGCCTCCTCTCCCAGCTCCAGCACCAGCTGCTTGGCGCGCCGGAGCTTGCGAACCGATCCGCCCTTCAGCACCCTGGACAGCGTCCGGGCCGGGGCGGGCGCGGCGGAGCTGGCGCTGTCTGTCCAGGAGACCCCGGGCGGCAGCCGCACCAGCCTAAGCAGTGGGGCGCAGTCGAGAGCCAGAGAGCCGTGCGCCTCCGGCCAGCCAGCCCTCGACTCCGAGGGTGACGGCGGCTGCAGGAGCAGGTCCCGAGCATAGACGCGGAAGAGCGAGGGCACTACAAAGTCCACCGCCAGACTCTTCCTCTGCAGGCGCGAGTAACTGAGCGGCTCCCGGGGTTGCAGCGCTGGCCCCATGGCCGCTGAGCCCACACTCTGGTCGGTCCTGATCTCCGTCCCCGAAACCGAGGCTGCCGCTGAAAGCAGCGGCAGCAGCAGCCACAGTAGCCCTGCGGCTCCCATCCCGTTGGAGAAGGGTTGTTTGTATACTAGTCTCCTGACCCTCCGGAATCCAGCCTCGCCCTTCACTTTCCCCCCGATGGGAAGAGCCTCCCAGCAGTGCCTGGTTCTGAGCAGCTCCTCCACCTGATCTCTGGGGGATTGTGCGTGCACTCGATTCTCTCGCTTTCCTCCAACTGCTAGGAGGAAAACAACAGTCTCAGTAAAATGAGGCTGGAAGCAGGGGTGTGTCAAGAGACCCCGAAGCGCCCGCAGCTGAGACCCTGTGCCTCCAGCCAGCTGCGCCGACCGCCGCGCCCCCGTCTGTAGCTCGCTGCGCTCCAGAATGAGAGAAACTAGTACTAAGGTTGAAGGGAGGTGGCAATTAGGGTATCGTCCTGTCCTGCCCCCGAGGCCTGAGCGGTGGTCTGTCCAGCGGCCTCCAATCCTCCGCAACTTTCCAGCTGGGAACGGTGGCTCCGAGCTGTGTCTGCCGTCCCAACCGCCTCCCGCGCTCCTTTCGGCTCCTCTGAGCTCCTCTCTCCTCGTCTGGGGGCGAACGGAGGGGGGAGGCTGCGTTTTTGCTCACCTTCCTGCGACCCTCCACAGGGAGAAGTCTGGACTGCCCTGCGTGATGAACTTCTGGGCTTGAATCTAGCCCACGCGCCGTGAAGAGAGGGCTCAGGCCGCCGCCGCGCAAGTTTCCAGCGTCCTTGCTCTCCCCGCTTCTCGTCTCCTCGGAGTTCTCCGACACGAAAGCAGCCCCAGAGGCGGCAGGAGAGTGAAGGCATTCAGGGCAGAAGAGCCTGAAATCTTACTGCCCACTCCTTACGCATCGGCAGCCCCTGAGGCTTCGGGTGGCTGGCCAGAGGGAGGCCGGAAGGTGTCTCGGCGCCCCGCGACCCTGCGGGCAGCGGCGGCTGGATGTGCCAGCTGCTACCTCCGCGGTCGCCTGTGGAGCCGCTGGATCGCATCTGCCTGGGCGCCCGCCACTTGCAGCTGGCGGAGCCGCGAGCTCGCGCCAGGAGGGGGCGGGGGCGCGGCGGGGGCGGGGCCCGAACGCCAACTCCCCGCCGCCGTCGGCCCACGCAGGGCCGCCCCGCCCGCACCCGCCAACCAATGGCCCAGCGCAGTCGGCTCCTATGCAAATCTGCAGAGGCATCGGCATTCATTGAGAAAAGCACAGAGCCCGCCCAGTCCTTCCCCAGCCCCTCGGTCCGCTCCCTCTCCTTCCCCTCCTCTAGATTCCCTGCTCTATTTCTCTGCTGTGAGAACGGGAGCGGATTTTATATAAATGGGAGGAAAGGAGAGGCCTTTGCAATCAAACATTCTCCCTAATTATGCATTTAAAAGATTAAACGAGTCCGACTTCTGAAAAGCAGGTTCTGTAATAAAACTGGAGGAGAGGAGAAGGGAGGAGAGGGAGGACGGGCAGCGCGACGTTGCCAAATCCGAGAACAGCTTGGATTGGGGCCCTGAGACAATCTTCTCTGGCCCTTCCATTATTTGAACACATTCCTGGGAACCTGACGGTCCCGTCCCCTAGACAGGGAAGGTTTGTGGGTGGGAGCGGTGGCGATCTCACAAGAGTTCTTCAACTACAACAAATGTATTTCAGACCTGTCAGTCACCCTGCGTTTTCGCAGAATGGCTCGAACATGAGTCACCTCCTTTAGTCTCTCCAAGGTAAATATTTTACATTCCAGTTTTAGAGAAAAGGAAATTGAGTCACAGATAATTGATTTTCCTTGGGTCACATACATTCTCCCAAGTCCTTAGTCATGTACTCTTAACCGCTGCTCTGCCATACCTCCCACTCCATGAACCTCCATCTCCCTAACCAAGAAGATCTGGCTAGAAGGAGTAATGATCTGACACTCTTGCCCACAGCCTTCAGAGCGAGAGCTCAGAACAGAAGTCCTTTCTTTATTTATGAAATAAGGACTGTACCTCTGATCTCTCTTTCCCTTCATCCCTCCTGAACTGACAACAGAACTTTGTTTCTGGCTGTGTTTATAACAAGTGGTTCATTGGAACCGGAGACAAAACTACAATCTTTGGTTCACACATATCCCTCAATTTCTTCTCAAAGTTGATTGTCAGACCTTCTGCTGTCAAAGCTAAAAATAAGGCAAGATCTTCCTTTGAGGAGCTCACAGCCTGGCAGGTAGAGGTGAATGTCCTTATAAGCACAGGGGTGGAGTTCAGTCTCCTTCACTGAGCTGCAGAGGGTTGCAGTAACTTGCTCACACCACCACAGGAAGTGGTAGCCAAGCAGGGACTCTGATCTCTCAGACTGGGCTCCTTGGAACATTTTGGTGTTGCTTTTAGCAACTAGAAGACCTAATAACGAGAGAATATTGATTCTTGGAATGACTTGCTTTGGGTTCTATGTTTGGCCGCTCACTTAATTTGACAGGCAACTGGCCTGTCCTTGGAACTCAAACTGGGTACACTGACTTTACAAGTTTAAGGGCAAAGAATGATCTGCTCCAAGGAGAAGAAGTGATGTTCCTACCTTGATGGAAGAAGAGAGCGAGGGAGAAAGAGAAAGAGGAGAAGTAAAGGGTATGGAGGTTAGTACTTTCCTAGTGCGTGAGGACCTGCATTTGGATTTTCTTGAGATTTCACTGGCATGTTCACTGGTGGAGGAATAATTTCTATTTGAAATATTAAAAAGATGAAAATGTAGTCTTTTACTACCCACTCCATCCCCTGTTCCCTATGTAATTGTCCAAAGCCAAACTGACTCTAATGTATGTCAGTACCTATGAATCGTCTGCTACAATTAATGGCCACAAGGGGGCTGCAGAGACGATACTTCAGATGAGTCACCACAGTTTTAACATTCTCCCAGATCACGTCTGGGACTATTGCCTTTGCACCTAGCAGACACAGGGCTCTCAGTTAATTCTCATGGTTTATAAATTCTTTTAAATTTCCTCCAAGGAAGGACAAATTCTTCTCCCTGTAGATTCTATCACACTGAATCTCAAAAGTGTTCCCTTTTTAATTTAAAGGAGACAGGAATGAGTATTAAGAGAGTCTATTGGTCACTATGCATATGCATCTGTAGTAGTGTATGTATGTGTGTGCATGTGTGTAACATCACACAGCAGCCTTGGGGGAAGGTATATATTATTGCTTCCATTTCAGAGATAAAACAGTTAAGGCTCAGAGACACAAAATAACTTGCCTAAAGTGAAACAGCAAGTAACAGTTTTGATTCAAACCAGTTATTCTTGTCTTCCAAATTTTACATATCCCACTGGAAAAAAATTAGACTTTTTCCTCATGCCTACAGCTATAAATTTAATGCCTTTATCCTGAACCATCACTATTTAGAGGATGGGAGATGAGAAAACACACTTAAGAGCAAGTGGGGGAAACAGAGACAGAAAGATAAAAAGTATGAGCAAAAGTGATAGCTAACGTCTAATACACTTATGGGCCAGCGTATTTCAAAATAATTATCATGTATTATCTCATTTAATATTCACAGTAACACAGTGAGGGAAGTAACAGTATCTCTATTTTACAGACCACAAATGTTGCCCAAGAGGGTAACTTCCAAACAACAAAACTACACAGGTAACAAGATTTGTTAAATTATTTGAACCTGGATACCTAAGAAATCCATGGTCTCAAATCCTGAGTAACTACACAAGAGAGAAAATGGAGTAAGATGGAGCAGACCAAGATGGGCAGAGATCAACAGAGGAAAAAACTAAAAGTCCAACTAAGAAAGACAGATAATGGGGTGGGAGCGGTGGGCGGGGCAGAGAGGAGGTAACAGAAGCCTTGCAGACAGAGTCAGTGGCCCACAGCCCTGCTCTGGGGTCACCTTGCTGATGACTCGGGCAGTTAAGCTGTGGAGGGAGGGGAGTGAGTGGACCGTGTGCTGAGAGAAGAAAGGGTAGAGTCGGGCCCTGAGAGCACCAAGATCCTGCACAGGGACTCCCTTTCTGGAAATGGAGAAGTGACAGCTCAGTTAAGGAGGGGTTTACTTCTCTATAAGGGAAGCAGTAATTAAAACAGCATTCAAATCCAGGCAGTGTGTCTTAAGGCAAAACAAGCCTCCCAGTTGCAAAATCTGACGGAGGCCTAAAGGGTTAATTAAGTCAAGCATTCAATTGGTCAAGAGGAAGGAGAGAGACAGAAGGCAAAGAGAAAAAGGGAGAACAAGAAAGAGAAAAAAAGGCAAGAGAAAAATCAATATGTTGAGCTGAAGCTAGACATTGGAAGATACCGCTACGACACTTGGAAGCCCACAACCAGAGCATCTTATCGTGCACCGAAAGCAGGAATTGGGACCCAGAAGAAACATTTGTGCTCAGGAAACGGGATTTCAAGCGCAGCCTTGCTTCTCAGAGGCTCTAGAACCTTAGGAAAATCCTTGACTTCCCTGGGCTTATGTATCAAATTAGAAGAAACACCAAGTACAGTGTTTGACACATGTCCACTCTGCTAGTCTGTGTGAGACTCTCAAAGGGGCCAAAAGATCTCATCCAAAACTGGGACCAGAACTGATAGTAGAGAGAGACTATGAACTTCCAAAGTAACCAGGAAAAGAGCTTGGACCTAATGCTGGCAGGAGAAAATATTTTTTTAAAAAAAAAACTTATTTAAAACAATATCCTGCCACCTAACAAACCTAAGCTCTGATTCTATAACCAGCAACTGCCTGACCAGTCATACATAAGGTATCACCTAATAATCATCAGCAAGGAGGAAAGCTATTAATTCAACAATTATTAGGTACCCACTGTGTTTGGCTTTGCATGAGATGTTGAGGGGAGATACTGTAGTGAACAAAACAGTCAAGGTTCCTACTATAATGAAGCTTTGATAAAATTAAATGAAAAAAAACAATACAAAACTGAATTCATCATGCCTATGCTACAGTGAAGTAAATTACAAATACAAAAAAAAACTGGAGGAAAACATTGAAAAATAGACTTGTTTGGGTAGCAGAATTGTGGGTGATTTTTTTTCTATTTACAAGTGACTTTTAATGGTTTTATATAATAAAGAATAATAGAATTTGAATCCTATAAAGAAAGTATATCAGTCAATCAGTCAGGACAGTCAAGCTATGTTGTAATAACCAAAAACAACAACAAAACTCAAATTTCAGTAACTTGAAAACAAGGAAATACATTCTTCTCACAGCTCATATCCATCTTAGGTGAGCACAGGGCTCTGCTCATCAAAATCATTTAGGGATCCAGGCTGATGGAGCAGACACTATTGTGAACTTAAAGGATCTTGCACCAACAACTAAATACTTCAGTACGGAAATGGCACAGGTCATTTCCTCTCACAACTCTGGTTGAAGATATCCACATGGTCCTATCCTATTCTAAGAGGGCCCGCAAGGCTGAGAGTCAGAAATATCTAGCAAACAGAGCTTACTGACTTTTAAGAAGGAGAAAATGTGCAAGTGTAATGTTAAATGACTTAGAACACGAGGGGTCTAGAACACTGGAGTAACCCAGAAGAAAATGACCTTAATTTCCCTGGAAGCCATAGCCAGTGGGGGAGCTCAGCCACCATCAGAGAACACAGTCTGTGCATATATCATTGTGGAAACAAAAAAATAGCTCAGCCTGCTCTCATCCCACCCAAGGCATGATCAAGCCAGACAGACACAGAGGAAGCCCTTCTCCACACCACAGTGTGAAAACCCTCTTCAGGAAACCATACAGTCTCACATTTACTGAAGAGAAGCGAAACAAGAGAGATCAAAGCAAACAGCTCACCACTGTGTATTTCACAGCAACCCCTGTGTTTGCTGAAGCACAGTACGTTAGGAAGTAAAGGTGTGAGCTATTACTGTAGCTAACACAGGTCTTATCACCTGCTTCTATCTTAATATTTCTGGTCTTTTTAGATACCCTTTTTGGCTGAGGAAGATGAAAGTAAAACTTTTGGGGTAATTTGGTTATCAACATAGTCTTCTTAAGTGTCTTT